AAGAAAGGGAATCTATAAATGTATTTAATGTAGTGAGTCATACACATATGAAATAATTAGCAGCAGAAGGCAAGAAAATACTAAGTACAGCTTATAAAAATGTTAATGAAATGCCTTATCTAGCATTTGTGACTTTTTGAGGGACAAGAACAATAGAAAGTAAACTACTCTTTATTGATATTTGCCAATAATTTAACCCTTAGTGGTAGAGCAGTCAACCTAGGAAAAACAACTGTAGATTGCCTTTGTAAATTATAATGACTTAAGTAGTGCAGTGTGAATGATGGACTGATCCATTTACTAAAGTTATCAATATCTATCATCTATCTTTCTTTCTATTGATCATCATCTATCTATATCATCATCTGTCTACCACCATAATCTATTTAAATGAATGGCTGGTGCAGAGGACTATGACCCAGAATTTTTCATAATGAGAAGATTATTTTCAACTCCTGATTTTAATGCTCATTAGTCAACACCATCCTATATTCATGGAAAATTTTTCTTTTCCTTGAATATAAAATGCCCTTTCTCACCTCTCCTGCACATTAATTTTCTAATATACAGTAAGTTGAAATGGTTAAATGTCTGTGTTGCTATGTTAGGTATTTATTCAGAGCCTCTGGCTCCTGACAACTAATGTCAATATGTATCTCTTACAAATCAAGTGAGCAACATGTAAAACTAGTAATCCATGAATTCTCCATCTGTAGGTCTATGTCATGATTTTCACAAGCAACTATGTTATGTAGGTTTTAAAAAGTGTATTGCTTAAGATAGGTCATTAAAAGATGGTTAAGACATATATTTTTAAATTAAAATAATTTGAGAAGTATGCTTAGATATTGCAAGGATTCTAGAATTTTGGTTTCATTACATCTCTATGGAATATCCAATATTTTAGCTAGTTTTGACTTGCACACAAGACAGTATGGTGTAACAGATAGGAGTTAGGATTACCATCAGAGGATATGGGTCCTATTTCTGCCAATTATTAACTATGTAATTTTGTGGTGAGACTCTTTCTCCACTTGACAATAAAAGTTGCTATTAGAAGATGCCTAAAATGTGCCAGAAACTTTCTTAGGAGTTTTATTGTTCCTATGTCACTTAATCTTCATAGCAACTCTAGAGTCCTCATGCCCATTTATAGGAGAGGAAATGAAGGCTCAGAAGTTGAGAAATTTTCTCCAGGTCAGACACCTAGTGAGTGGTGTTCAGCAGATGGGCTCTATTTTACCTGCCTCTAAGGACAGTGGAAGTAACCACTGTAAAATACTGCTTTTCAAAAATTTACTAAATTGGAGAATATATATCATATATATTTTTTGAGTTCATAATATATGATATAAATGTTAGTTATTGTTAAGAGGTCAGGTAAATAGGCTTATATTTTTTACTTTTCAGATAAGGGAGACTTTGAAGATGAGTCAGATCATATAACAAACAATTCTAAAACTGATAGCCTAAATATTACCTTTTATTTAGCTCATGATTCTGTGGGTCAGTGCATTTGGACTAGGTCCACCTGGACAGTCCTCTGGACCCACACATAAAAGCAAAAGGCAGTTTTGCTTCTGGGGAGAAGCTAACTGTGATTTGGAGCAGAGCTGTTGGGGTACATCTTGTTCTTGTAGGTACATCCGTATTTCCTTTCAATCCTTGCTCTAGTTATGGCTTTTGACTTGTTTCCTAATATTATTTCTCTTTGTACTGAAGTGACATGAGTGTGAGAGAAAGAGAAAGAGGGAGAGAGTGAGAGAGAGGGGAAAAAAGAGGCAGAGGGCCTGGTATATATGTCTCTCATCAAGCAGGCCAGCTAAGGCTTGCTCTCAAAGCACCTAGGGTAGGGGTCCGAGAGAGAGAGAGAGCAGAAACATACCTTTTGAGTACAAGACCTTTTGAACCCAAGGCTTTGAACTGGTACAACATCACTTCTATTTCATTCTATCAGCCAAAGCAAGTTAAAAACCCAGTCCAGACTCAGAGGCTGGAGAAACAGACTTGATGGGAGAAGATGCCAAGTTACATTATAAAGGGCCCATACCTATAGAGAGGGATGGGAAAATGTGACCATTTTTAATCTACTGCAAAGGAGTTTTGCTTGTGAAAATATTGCTTTTTGAAGGTGAACAAAATTTTTAAAATCCTTAAACTGGACTTTAAAAGAGTTCATTTGTTTAAATGTTAAACTTTTACAAGGATATCATTCTGACTGTCACAACGTGGCTCCCTGAGATCAATTCACTTTTCTGGTGGTGATGTGGTACTCAGTTTCTGTAGCCTTCTGTGATGCTGACACAAGGATTATAAAGGAAGCAGCATTTCAGCTGCTTCTCGGCCAGGGGTAATGTCCATATGGTCTTTTTAATCCTTGCTCCACACTGACCAACAAAGGAAACCACAACTGTTTTTTCCTCCTCAGTTTTCCATTGCTATTTTTCAAAGATTTGCTTTCTTTTCCCTTTTATCTGTCTTTTGCAGCAGGATCAGTGGAGTTAGTTTGCTGAAGGGGTTTTTGTTCTCACCTGTCTTATATAATGAAGCCTGGATGTTTATCTTAGGCTTTTCCCTGCTTATATTGACCAAAAGGAAAAATAAAAGAGACTATTTCATTCATTGTTTTGTTCATTGAATGCATCATTATGTAAATCCCATCCTTTCTTCTTTCCACATTCTTATTTTCAAACTTTTCTGAAATTTTCTTTAATTCCATATCTAATCCTTTATGAATCACAAGAAGACTGAATTCTTCTGAAAGATGATCCTCTTGCCAGTGTGATCATTTCTAGACAGCTTAAATAATCTTAGGCTCCAGCTGATTCATTACATCGTTGTTTTCTCATTTTCCCCTATGAGCTTTTTGCATCATTTTTCCCCTTCCTTTTGGTATCTCTATAGATCTCTCATAATACAAATTTAATGATATCAAACTAAAGGCTTTCATTATTGATTCCTGTAATCTATATGAGTTATCTTTCTGGAAGTCTGGTAATTTAACATGGATATTTCCTCCATTTAAATTAAAAGGAATAGTTTATGTAAAGGATTTTGCACATAGTAAGATCTCAGTGAATGTTATCTATTATCATTAATGTTAGTACACTTACTATTGTTAATTTATTTTAAAGCAAACGGCATGCCCTTTTCTCCCTACTGAATTTACATTAGCTATATAAAACCATCTAGACAATATGAGAATGCATGTTTGAATATAATTTTTCTTTGCAAATTTCCTGGTGATTGAAATTTGCTATCGCTGTCTTTTTTAGAAATGCCTCAGTAGTTGATCATAGCGCAAAATCAGAGTCACTTCCTCAGCATTTAAGCTCTATACATTTTTTAGTGTGTTAGTAAGGCAAATTTATATTTCCACAAAGCTGGGTCTGCATAGCTGTTCCTTAGGATATTATGACACATTTAATGTCATACTGTTAATAATTTCTTTATAAATGAATACATTCCATATTTTCCTGGTATTAGTTTCCTAGACACCAATGGCTTTCCAAAGATCTTTTAGTTCTTTAATTATTTACTTACTGTCATAAGAGATAGGTGTTTTTTTCAGTGAATTGTTTATGTTTAAGTGGCCATCCTACAGTCCTCTGTATTGCTAAAGCTTTCTGATAAGTAACTCAAAGGTCTTGCTCCTTCCAAATCACAGTGTCAATATCAATATCTGCTTTTCAAAAAGACTTTCTCCTATATACAACCTGGTGTTTTACCTACTCTGTGAACTTCAATCCTATTAAACTGTACCTATGAAATAGCATCTCTCTCTTTTTCTTTCTTCCTAGAAAGATGCACGCAGACCCAGAAACACACTCTCTTTGGTAATGAGGTCTAATATGGGTTGAACTGTGTCAGTTTCCCCCTACTTCTCCCCAAAAAGAGAAATGCTCGAGTCCTAACCTCCAAAATCTCAGAATGTGACCTTACGTGGAGATAGGGTCTTTACAGAGGCAATCAAATTAAAATGAGGTCATTAAGGTGGGCCCTAATCCAACATGGTTAGTGTTCTTACATAAAAGGTAATTTGGACATAGGCATGCATAAAGGGAGAATGACATGAAGAGACACAGGGAGAAGATGACCATTGTCAAGCCAAAGAGAGAGGCCTGGAATAGGTCAATTCTTTAAGACCGTCAGAAGAACCAATCCTGGGACACCTCAGTTTCAGACTTCTAGCCTCCTGAACTGTGAGATAACAAAATTCTTCTTTTTACACAATCCATTTGGTACCTCTTTTTGGCAGCCTTAGCAAACTACTCCAAGACCCAATAAAAATTTGAGAAAGGGGCTAATTAGATAATTGCTTTGTTACTTGGATATTTGTAGCTTGTCTTTTTTAGCTTCTGATAACGAAACCTGAATTTTTACTTGCTAGAGCATTATGTTCCTAGAATAAACTTTTTAAACTTGTTTTGTTTTACATAACCATGATGTGGAGACCTACATTTGACTGAAAAGAGCAAGCCAGAGCCATGCATAAGACGCGAGAAACAAGATTCCCTTGTCACCTGTAAGTAGACCTCTCTCCTGTCAGCTGTCATTAAGAAAAAATTGCAATTGGTCTTAGATTCTCTCACTTGTTGGGAGGGTGGGGCAGCGGGAAGAGAAAGGGTGTGGAGAGCGGGGTGTAAATAAGGCAGGCAGGAGCTCTAGAGTGGGTGGGGATAGAGCTTCACTGAAGAAAAATATAGGAACCTGGTTGGTACAACACAGCTGCCCCAGAACCCCAGCCCCCCACCCTTGCCCAGCTCTGTGCTCTGGCGCTGGTGGTTGAAAGCGAAGGCACAGCTCCAGCTGCGGCAACTCTGGGGGCAGAAACAAGATCTGCAGGTCGAAGTCGGAGCCGGGCGATGTCACCTTCAAGTGGCTGAGCTCCTCTGACCTCGGGTCAGCTCCTCAGCAGCCACTGCCAGCCGCCGTGCGGGCTCCCGGGGGGTCGCGGAGCGCAGGCTGGACCCGCCCCGAGCTCCATGGTTTGCCCAGCCCCGCGCGATGGTGGCTCTGGGCGCCGAGGCTGGCGCGGGGAAAGCCCGCGGCTCGCACGATGAAGGCGCAGCGCGCGGCGCGGGCGCTGTGTCCGCCACCCCAGCGGCCCGAGGCGCGGCCCAACCACCTGAACCCGCAAAACACCAACAAGTAGTTTCTCACTGGAAAAGGGCGGCTCGGCTGGGTGTCAGGACCCAGTCCGGCTTCTCGGGGAACCTCGTCCGCTCGGAAACCAAAGCAGAGCCACTTTCCTCTCGGTCTCCTTAAGGTATCTGGGGGCGGGAGGTTAATGCGTGGTTTGCCTGGAAGGGCATCCCCTCCCCTTCCCGCAACGGGAAGGTGGGTGAAGCCCTGGGGAGACGTGGCTGGGAGGCTGGAAGCGGGGACAGTCAGCCAGGACTTCAGCTCAGGGCTCCAGGGGGTGTGCCTCCAGCAGCTTTTCCCAGGGCCTCGCCGCTCCCAGAAAACAACCCCCCACCCTCCATCCCCAAGGCGTTTGTTTTGCTTGGGAAGGAGGATGGGGTGGGATGCACTGATCACTTGTATTCTCAAAAATGAATCCTAGTTGGTCGTTCCCTTTCCCAAGTGATAATAATGATGTTAACAGCAGCAATGTGAAAAGGAAATTGGATCAGGAAATTAGTCAGGAGTCTCCTTGGTGAAAGACAACAGCAGGGAAAATTGCTCTGACTTGTGCGTGCAGTCTTTTTGCCTCCTGAGGGAGCGGAGGTGAACCGAGAACAGGTCGCGCAAAGGGCACTCCCTGAGTGCTGGGGAGCAGAGCCGTCCGGCGCTGCCGCGGGTGCGCGTGCAGTGGGGGGTCCTCTGGCGCGGGGGCCCATGCCCAGCGCAGAGGGCGGCCTGTCCAGAGCTGCCTCCAGGCTAGGGGAGGGGAGAGGGGCCACGGCGCGGGAGGGGAGAGAGGCTTTAGAGAAAGGGGTGGAGGTTTCGGGAGAGAAGGGGCTGTTAGGAGCTGGGAGCAGGTGGCACTTAGGACAGAGGGCAAGGAGGTGAAGAGATGAAGGAGAGGTCTGAGTGGAGGGAGAAAGGTATGAGGCAAGGGAGAGGGTGTCATGGAAGGTCAGGGGAGGCTCCCACTGCTGGGAACATGGGGAAAGCGTGCCCTTGAGGCCAGGACGGGGCTAGGCTCCGATCTGCCCCTGGGAGGGCCGTTCGCCCCTCGCGCATCCGCCAGCCTCGCATCTGGGACTGTCGCGCCGGGAGTGGGGGTGGGGGTCACGGCGCCTCTCTGACGGGCGAGATCTTTAACTCGGCGCTGTGTTTGCCTCCCCCCAGTCATGTCTGAGCCACAGAGATGGGCAAGATCGAGAACAACGAGAGGGTGATCCTCAATGTCGGGGGCACCCGGCACGAGACCTACCGCAGCACCCTCAAGACCCTGCCCGGGACGCGCCTAGCCCTCCTCGCCTCCTCGGAGCCCCAGGGCGACTGCCTGACGGCGGCGGGAGACAAGGGGCAGCCCTCGCCCCCTGCCCTCTCGCCACCGCAGCGACCGCCCGCGCTGGGCCCCGGGCCGGGCGGCTGCTCGGAGGGCGGCGCGGGGAACTGCAGTCCCCGCGGCGGCGGCGCCGACCACCGCACGGGCGGCCGCGAGTTCTTCTTCGACCGGCACCCGGGCGTCTTCGCCTACGTGCTCAACTACTACCGCACCGGCAAGCTGCACTGCCCCGCCGACGTGTGCGGTCCGCTTTTCGAGGAGGAGCTGGCCTTCTGGGGCATCGACGAGACGGACGTGGAGCCCTGCTGCTGGATGACCTACCGGCAGCACCGAGACGCCGAGGAGGCGCTCGACATCTTCGAGACCCCCGACCTCATCGGCGGCGACCCCGGCGACGACGAGGACCTGGCGGCCAAGCGGCTGGGCATCGAGGACTCCGCGGGCCCGGGGGCCCCGGACGGCAAGTCCGGCCGCTGGAGGAGGCTGCAGCCCCGCATGTGGGCCCTCTTCGAGGACCCCTATTCGTCCCGAGCCGCCAGGGTAAGGCCAGAATCGCCCCCTGTTCCCTGCTGCTCCAGCTCCTCCCAACCCCTTGCCCAACTTTCCGTTGTCGTCCACGGGCCTCTGGGACAGGCGAGTGGGGGGCAGAAAACAGGACTCCCTAAGGATGAGATGAGAGGTCTGGTGCAAAGTGAACTCGGGGACCCTGGTCCATTCTCCGCCCCCTTCCTTCATCCCGCTCCTGTCCTCCTCAGCTCAGACTGAGATTTACTTTATTACTTTAGCAGATGGGACCTAAGGGGCAAACGTCTCTGTGCAGGTCTATCTGGAATCTTGTTCTGAAATCTGTTTCCACTCTTCATCTTGAGTTTTTTCCCAGCTGTTCTGTTGCAACTTTTCCTTTAGCTCGGATTTCCTTCTGGTCGTCACAATTAGACATTTTCAGTGGGGCCTGACAGCTCCTTCATGTTGACTCACCCGGAGCACTGGCTCCAGTTAGGGATCTAATCTGAGGACAGAGGAGGAGAAATGGAATCTCTGGGTGCGTCTGGGCTGGGAGCGGGTGTGCCGGAGGTTCATTTCTGTGAATGGATCTCCTGAATGCTATTTGGCGGTCTTCCTCCAGGGGTGGTGAACGCTGGATTGCTAATCCCAAGAAATTGACCAGGGAGCCCACCTGCTCATTGAATGTGGGAATCTGGTGCCTTTCCCCTTGGGCTGCATCTGTGTTTCTTTCAGGTTGCGTGTGAATTAGTCACGTTGGTGACTAGTGTAGTCCAATTCTCTAAATCTGGGTAATTGAGATTGTGGCAAACTTCATTTTACTCTTAGACGGTGATCCCATCCTCAATTTTTCTTTTCTGTTTCTAGGTTGAGGGACAGTTTGAATTTAGTCTTAGATACTCCCAATTAATTATTCAGAATTCCATGCAGGGACCAAAAGTAACCAATAATGGTTTCTCCACTTTAAAAGAGATAAAAGATATATAAATAACCCCAAAATTATGCGGTATGTGAATTGTTTTTAATTATATGAGAGAACTGTAGTGTATTTAGTTAAATCTTTGCAATTGTCTGTGTCTGGTTTGCTTCTGACACCCAGAAAAAATACCCCCTGGGCAGAATGGGAATTTTCCCAGCTTCACTCTGGCTCTGTCCTCATTGTTGTGCTTCTCTGCATGTGAGAAGTCTCTGCATTTGAGATATTGTGTGATTATCTATCTAATAACTTGTCAGAAGATGTGCTTCTGACACCACTTTGGGAGTCTGAGGATGTGTTTTGTTTTTAGTTTGAAATAGAATACGAAAGAGGCTATTTAAAGCCTTCCTACTCTATTGTATGTGGTATTTAAATACATACATAAATTTTAGTATGTCCACATGCTCACATTGGAATATAGAATTAACAACTTCGACTCTGATAGTTTCCTTTTCATACCATTCTATAAATTCGGCAAGAGTTGGCATTTAGAAAACAACCACAAAAAACAAGTGTACATTTACTGAAATTAAATCACAGACTCATGACCATTTCATCTATTTTTTCTGGATTCAAGCTGAGTGCCACTGTGCACTTTCCGCTTGGTGGTTAGAAAGATAATCTGAATTTGTTTTCAGTCTCATCGTGATTATTTTTTCCCCCAGATTGTGTACTACAAAAAAGACAGAATGTTTTATTATCTTCCCTCACGATAATATAACACATTTTATTATAGGCCAGATTGCATAGAAAAAACTTTTAACAAGGTGTTCCATTTTCATTATTGGTATGGAAATTGAGTCTATTTATTATTAGTCAAAGCATAGACCATTAACTTTAAAACAGGCTTTTTTTTATCTTAAGGTATCACTTTAATAATGTTAAGGACTTGATGTGTATCCATTTTAAGTGAGGAAAGAGCCCAGACAGATTGGAGATTAACATAAAGTCAAAGAGTTGAATCAGCTGAGAATCAGACACCCAGAAAATTTATTTGAGTTCACCTCATGAAGACCCCTTATTCTGTAGGTGAGGAAAATAAAGACTATAGATGCTAAGTGATGGGCCAAGGTCATACAGCAAGTTAATAGCAGATCCAAAATCATGCAGTAGTCTCATAACATCGTATCCAGGCCCTTTTCACTACACCCACTGATTATAACTGACTCTTTGGCTTGTGAAATCTTTGCAGGTTGTGTTGTTCTTGCGATTTAATATAGCATAAGACATTCACTAGAACTCTAGTGAATTTGGAAGGTCATCTATGACTTTTTAAAATACATATATTTCAGGACTTTGGCTGGACCACCCATTAGAATGAAAATACGGGATTCAAATAAACTTTTTTAAATGAGCCCTGTTTTAACTTTTATTTTTATTGACCAGTGATATGTAACGTTTTGTTTTCTTTCAGATTTGGCTAATATTTGTGGGGCTTGTCTTCAGGGAATCCCTTTTCAAATTAATAGGGGTTGCCTGAAAAAAAAGTAATAGGAAGTCACTCTTCTATTTGATTGTGATTTAATATTTTTATATGCACACTTTTAGTTCAGATGATGGTCTGGCTTAATGTTATCTGACTAGTTTGATAAACAGAATTACATTGGGAAGTCATAAGATGAAATTATATTTTGCATGGATATGATTCTAAGAGGCGTAATTATCAAGTGGTTTGCTTTAGCTGTGGTCTTACTGCTACGAGTCTCATACTGGATAGAATTTAAGTATTTAGCTTTTAAAAACCCTCTTACTTTCTTTTACATTAATTCATCTTTTATTGATATACTAGAGATGAACAATTTTAACTGTCTGAATTCATTTTACAGTTTATTACATCTGTTTCATCATTGTCTTTATCCTTCCCCAATATTGAGGTGATTGGCTCAATTATGTAATAGATTTGTTATTTCTAACCTTGTATGATGTTAAGGGGCAGACTGAAACAACAATGAGAGGAAACTGATAATTAACTGAAATTTACTTTTCCCTTCTCTATAGTTTTAAATTTATGATGTAAATGCATATTTGAGAGGTCTAAGTGGTTCAAGTTAATTTGGGATTGTTATTTCTAACCTTGTATGATGTTAAGGGGCAGACTGAAACAACAATGAGAGGAAACTGATAATTAACTGAAATTTACTTTTCCCTTCTCTATAGTTTTAAATTTATGATGTAAATGCATATTTGAGAGGTCTAAGTGGTTAAAGTTAATTTGGGAAATAAATTTGTATTTTATACTTATGAATTCTTATCCTTAAGAATAGTGTTCTAAAATAGATATTTATAAAACATCAAATATAAGTTGTCATGGAAACCTGTTGTGGAGAAAATGAGAACAGGAAAGAAAAGGAGAGATTATTCTGTTGATGCCATTGAATATTTACAAATACTAAAAAGCAAGGATATGTAGATGTATTTGTGAGAATATTGTGTTTTTCCAATTTGATATCCAAGTTTTAGAAGTAAATGAAGCTTGTATGTGCTGAAGGCATTATATCATAGGTAAGTGGACAGATGCCAAGCAGAAATTCTTTGATAGAACTTCTGGATTTTATAGAAGTTTAAAAAAACAGTTTAAGGGCAAAATACTAGAATAAAACTATTCATTTCCAATATTAAAGAGGCGAGTGCAGTTATAAATTTCTACTTCTTCCTCTTCTTCTCACTTATTTTTTGTTTGGGGGAGTACACTTGAATTAGGTTCTGTTTTAGAGTGTGGCTTTTCCTGGGTGGCATGTATATCTTTGATTATCTGATAGACCACTTAATATACCATTATGTGGAGATTATCCTGAATCATACATTTTTCTAATCTTGAAAATATTAACTTTGTTAGCATTTTATTTTATTTTACCTTGACATTTATTTATTTAGTTGTTTATTAAGGTATCATTGATATGTAATCTTGTGAAGGTTTCACATGAAAAACATTGTGGTTACTACAGTCACCCGTATTATTAATCCCCCCCCCACACACCCCATTGCAGTCACTGTCCAACAGTGTAGTAAGATGCTATAGAGTCACTACTTGTCTTCTCTGTGATGTACTGCTTTCCCTGTGACCCTCATACATCGTCTATGTTAATCATAATACCCTTAATCCCCTTCTCCTTCCCCCACCCACCCCCTTCCCACCCCCTTCCCTTAGGTAACCACTAGTCTCTTCTTGGAGTCTGTGAGTCTGCTGCTGTTTTGTCCCTTTGGTTTTGCTTTGTTCTTATACTCCACAAATGAATGAAATCATTTGGTACTTGTCTTTTTCTGTCTGGCTTATTTCACTGAGCATAATACCCTCTACCTCAATCCATGTTGTTGCAAATGATAGGCTTTGTTTTCTTCTTATGGCTGAATACTATTCCATTGTGTATACGTACCACATCTTCTTTATCCATTCATCTATTGATGGACACTTAGGTTGCTTGCATGTCTCGGCTATTGTAAATAGTGCTGCAATAAACATAAGGGTGCATATGTCTTTTTTGAACTGTGCTCTTGCATTCTCAGGGTAAATTCCTAGGGGTGGAATTCCTGAGTCGAATGGTATTTCTATTTTATGAGGAACCTCCCTACTGCTTTCCACAAAGGTTGAACTAATTTACATTCCCACCAGCAGTGTAGGAGGGTTCTCCTTTCTCCAGATCCTCACCAACATTTGTTGTTGTCTGTCTTTTGGACAGTGACCATCCTTACTGGTGTGAGGTGATATCTAATTGTGGTTTTAATTTTCATTTCTCTGATTATTAGTGATGTGGAGCATCTTTTCATGTGCCTCTTGGCCATCTGAATTTCTTCTTTGGAGAAGTGCCTGTTCAGATCCTCTGCCCATTTTTTAATCAGATTATTGGCTTTTTGTTTGTTGAGGCATGTGAGCTCTTTATATTTTTTGGATGTCAACCCTTTATCGGATTTGTCATTTACAAATATATTCTCCCATACTGTAGTATGCCTTTTTGTTCTGCTGATGGTATCCTTTGCTGTACAGAAGCTTTTTAGTTTGATGTAGTCCCACTTGGTCATTTTTGCTTTTGTTTCCTTTGCTGAAGGAGATGTGTTCAGGAAA